TACTTTTCAGATGGGCAATCTTAGGCCTGGATGAACTTTGCAGTGTCCCCTTTATTACAAATACTCTTGTCTTTGCCTGACCCCTCTAGTGGATAGGACACAATCTTTTTATTTCCCACCCTGATTTTCATTTCAGTGCTTAATAATAGAGGTTTGTTGAATTGCATTAACTTGCCCAGGGTAACAGGGATAATTGGCAGTGGAACCTGGGTTAAAACCCAGATATACTGTTACAGAAAAGCAAAGAAATACCAAGCACGCTTCCTAGAGAAAGGGAGGGACCCTGTTTATTAACGCTAGTGGACTCTGGGAATAATCTCCAAATCAGAGTGAAGTAACACACAGAGGCTTCACTTTTTATAACCTTCTGGGGTCTTTGTCTTGCAGATATGATTCCGCCCCCTTTTGTGGGCTTGTGGCCCCCAGGTGTTGATGATCTTGCCCTGGGCCAGCGACCTTCCCGCCCCCGCACCCCCCCCCTCCCATGGTAGTGCATTGTTCACAGTTTTTATGGCCTGACAGGCCTTGCAAGACCAGTTTCCTCCTCAATACAAACTCCTGAACCAGTGGAAAGGACAGTCAACTAGCCATGTAACTTTGGCTGAGATAATTATCTTATCTGAGCCTCTCAGTTTCTTCATCTGCAAAATGGATATAACAATCTATTCCTTGTGGGGTTTTTATGAAAAGTTGTTGAGATAATGTATGTATGGAATAGGCCCTCCATAAGTATGGATTCCCTTCCCCGCACCTTTCTCTCGCAAAACTGCTAGGGTTCCCTGAGGAAATTGAACCAAATAGTTATGGAGCTTTAGCTAGGGATGAGACCCTGGGCTCAGCCCTTTGGTAGATACAAAGGTTGTTACCCATTTAATGGCAATGATGAGCCTGATGGTGTAGCCGCCCCCTCCACACTTCACCCCAGGCTGGCAACAGAAGAAGGGGGTGTCTTTCCTGTTTCTGTTTCTCTCCAAGAAGGAGCAGATTGCCCTAACCGGTTTGGCTCAGTGGATAGAGCGTCAGTCTGAGGACTGAAGGGTCCCAAGTTCGATTCTGATCAAGGGCATGTACCTTGGTTGCAGGCACATCCCCAGTAGGGGGTGTGCAGGAGGCAGCTGATCGATGTTTCTAACTCTCTATCCTTCTCCCTTCCTCTTTGTAAAAAAAATCAATAAAATACATTTTAAAAAAAGAAAGAAAACAATTTTTAAAAAAGAAGGAGCAGATCCCACCGCCCTCCGCTTCTCTTCCAACTATTTAAGCTACTAAACAGCTGACCTCCCCTCCCCAGCCATCCTCCTTGGCTCCCTATCACCCTGTCTGGCCTTGCTCCACTTCCCTCTGACTTCCTCACCTTTGGAGCACAGCTGATGAAATGAGCCCGTTTCCCTGGCTCCCTGCCTTCTTGAGGTGATGCTCAACGAAGGGACCCATTAGTCAGGGAGAGGGGTGAACCAATAAGTCAGTAAAAGTGAGGAACAGAGCAAAGCATATTGTTTTTTATACTTAAAGTAAAATAATTTACAGGGATAAATACCATATTTGCCGGCGTATAAGACGATTTTTTGGCCCTGAAAAATATGCCTCCAAGTGGGGGGTCGTCTTATACGCCAGGTACACTTCAGATAGACTGCCCATAGTGCTTGCCCCGTGCCATAGTGGCCTCCCGATGCCCGCCCACTTCATTCCACATACCGTTCAGGCATCAGCAGCGCTGCTGGGTGTATGCTCGGCTGTTATGCGATTTT